CCCACAGGGTTTCCAAGGCTGTCAATCTTCACAGAAGCAAAGCCCAAACCACACCCACTGCTGTGGAGTCGATTCTGACCCACAGCGCCCCTAGAGGATAGAGTGGAACTGCTCCACAGGGTTTCCAAGGCTGTCATCTTTCTGGAAGCAGACTGACACATCTTTCTCCCTCATAGAGTAGGTTCAGATCACTGACCTTTTGGTTAGTAACTGAATGCTTCAACCGTTGCACCACCAGAGCACCTTTAACATTGGGTATTATATCCTTTTATTTAGCCAAAGTGTTTATTCCTAAATGTGTGACATTTTTTGTATAAAACAACAAAAAAAAGCCTGTTTGTGTCCCTCCTGTGAGCTATTTCTGGCTCCCTCTGGGCTCTGGCATCCAGTCACCTTCACCAGTCTGCAGGTCCAACTCAGTCCAGGTTCCCAGAGAAGATCTTGGAGAGGTGGTGGTTTAGACAGAAATCTTTCATTTCCAGTGGCTTCTAAGAACTAGAAAGAAGGTGATGATAGGAAGAGTAAACCATCTTTCAGCCAAACCATAAACAGGGCTATGAGGTGAACAGGAGCTCTGGTGGCGTAGTTTCTAAGGCAATTGATTGCTAACCAGAAGGCTGGTGGTTCAAACCCACCAACCACTCCTCAGAAGGAAGATTGGGTAATCTATTTCCATAGTGATAGGAGCTAATCTAATTCCATAGAGATACTGCCCCGGAAACCCAAGGAGGGGTCGCTATGAGTTGGGTCCAACTGGACGGCATTGAGTTGGGTTTGGTTTATGAGGTGACAGTAACAGGGTATGCACTCCTTAGAGCAATCAACCAGACGAGATCCAAAGGACAGCACTTGCCCAGGGATGAAGCTCTGACAGGAGGGAACAGGAAGGAAGGATGAAGGGAAATGGTCAACATGGGGAGGAAGTGGGAGGAGAGCTGTTACAGTGTGGGGATTGCAGTCAACGTCACAAAACCAAACGTGTGTGACCTGTTGACTGGAAAACCAATTCACTCTGTCAGCTTTCTCCCAAATCACAAGAAGAGTCCCCCCCCCCCATAAAAAGAGAGTAAAATATCATGTCTGTAAAGATACCTGTGTTGTTAAATCACATCATTTTTGTTTAAGGAGCTCTGTGGTACAGTGGTCAGTGCTCAGCTGCTAAGTGAAGGGTTGACACTTAAACCCATCTGGCGCGTCCGTGGGAGACAGGCCCGTCAGCCAGCTCCCCTCACGCTGACAGCCTAGGAAGCGTTGGGAGCCAGTTCTGCTCTGTTACATGGGGTCGCGAGGAGTCAGAACCAATTACGAGCACCAACCAACAGCCAGTTTTTATTGACTTACTTACATTTGAACGGCCATCTTGTATTTCTCCTTCTTTCTCTTTCACTATGTATCATTTTTTTTTTTTCCTTCAGGAATACCCCAGAGTTGTTCTTCTCCATCAGCTGGCAAAGACGGAGGGCGCGTGGACCATTCTTCCGTTGTTACCACAGTGCGTTCACCTTCGTGTGCAAACGTTCCTGCCACACCTGCATGTGCTATTGCAGCCTAGCTCTCTTGTTAAGAGGATGCCTTTTTCCTCTGAGTCTGTAAATGAACTGATTGAAGCTTTGTTTTCTTTGTGATTACTGACTTGAATGTATTTTATTATAAAGTAATTTCGTGATGATTGGTTCTCTGTGAAGAATAATTGTTATTTTTAAACATGTTTCTTTCTGAGAAGGTGGACATAGTGCTTCAAGTTGGCTTTTGAAAATTACCAGTGGTTCGAACCAGTGTTGTTACACAGGGAATTAATTTGGATAAGCCAGGGGTTATATAAAGCATGAGTCGTTGACCTTTTCACAGGCTGAAATGTTCAACCTTAACCAACAGTGTAAGGGGGGAAACAGGTAGATTCCTCGCCGTTTTGTAGGCCTTTCATCTGCTTCCTATGGGTATGTTTTAAGCCATATTGTCGACTGAGGTCTTTGACATGGTTCCCTGCTTACCATGTGGTGTTTTCTTTCTGTCAGCCTTTCTGTGACATACAGCAGAAACTCATCATGGATTTTCTTCTGTGAGGAAGAGACGAGAATGCAAATCCCCAAACTCTTGGAAACACTCCGAAGATATGACCCATCCAAGGTAACATTTCAATACCAATTCTCACTCTTTGAGGGGAGAGGCTTAGAAACACTCTGAAGATATGACCCATCCAAGGCAAAGTAGCGTTTTAATACCAGTTCTCTGCAGGGAAAGGCTTAAACAAAGATTTGCTTTTGATAAAGAGGTTTCTGGAGCTAATTACAGCCATTTAAAATTCTGAATCATTAAAAAGAGTAAAGTCATGGCTGACTCTGTGGGGGCTGTTAGAACTCTTTTGGTGCAAACTGCCCGGAATTCAGTCATTCTCTGAGGTTTGTAGCTTATGGAAGGACACCTCTGATAATGAACCATTTTTCAAGGAAAGGAGAATCTATGTGTGTTAGCAGTTTTGAAGACGTAAGAAATTATTGCCTAGCTTTCAGAAACGGTCTGCCCTACATGTAAGCTTCAGTTGGCTGTTTCTTTTAGCACTCACTGCCATTGAGTCGATTCCGACTCATAGCGACACCCATTGGGTTTCCCAGATGGTAAATCTTTGCAGAAGTACATTGCCTCATCTTCCTTCTGAGGAGCAGCTGGTGGGTTTGAACCACCAACCTTCTGGTTAGCGGTCAGATGCCTTAGTCACTGAGCCGCCAGAGCTCCTTCTTAGTAGACAACGGCCCCGTATTATTTTACGTAAGAGTCATTTGCTGAGTGTGCTCCAGGCCCAGGGGATGAGTCGACAGCGCAGCTGACGGGAGCAGACCGTCAGGAAGCATTTGAGAGGAAGGTGAGCTGTCTTACAGTGAGGCCAGCACAGGGTGCTGAAAGGAGCCACGTGGTGCAGCAGGCAGGCCCTCGGCTGCTGACTGAAAGGTCGGCAGTTCAGGGCCACCCAGCAGCTCCAGAGAGATACCCGGCGATCTGCTCCCATAAACATGACACCCTCGGAAACCCTGTGGGGCAGTTCCACTCTGTCACGTGGGGTCACCGTGAGTCGGAATCAACTTGACGGCCCTTGACAGCGACCAGCGTGCTGCGAGAAGCACGTTGCAGGGCCGTTGGCCCTAATCTGAGAGGATCATGGAAGCAAGTGACACTTCATCAGTGTCCTGGAGAATAAGGAGGACGGGCAGGGGAGAAGGAGGGTGCTCCAGGCCGAGGGGACAGAACAGAGAAGGTCTGCAGGGGAGAAGCGTTACGTCTTCACTGCTTGCGTATTTTTAGATCTTATTTTGTGCACATTTGACACAGCAGCTGCATCTTGTTTCCCTCTGAATCCTTGGCACTGAGCAGTGTTTAACACTGAGCAGGTGAATAGGAACGCTGGTGGTACAGTGGTTACAGCAGTCACCAAGAACCAAAGGGCTGGCGGTGTGAAGCCATTAGCCACTCCATGGGAGAAAGATGAGGCAGCTACTTCTGTAAAGATGACAGCCTTGGAAACCCTGTGGTGCAGTTCCACTCTGTCCTCTAGGGGCGCTGTGGGTCAGAATGGACTCCATGGCAGTGGGTGTGGTTTGGGCTTTGCTTCTGTAAAGATTGACAGCCTTGGAGACCCTGTGGGGCAGTTCCACTCTGTCCTCTAGGGGCGCTGTGGGTCAGAATCAAATCAACAGCAACGGGTTTGGGTTTTTGAGTTTGTGTTGGTTTCTTAGGGCTGCCGTATTGAATTAGCAGAAGCTCAGATGACTGGAAACAACGGTATATTCTCTCACACTCTGGGAGACAGGGTGTCTGAAACCATGGTGTCAGCATGGCCATGCTCCTTCTCGAGCCTCTGGGGCAGAATCCTTTCCTGTGTCTTCCAGCTCCTGGTGGTGGCAATCCTTGGTGTCCCCTGGCTGTGGTAGCATTACTCCCTTCACTGCCTCTGTTTTTACTCGGCCTTCTTTCTTGTGTGTCTCTCTTCAAATTTCTCTCTTCCTGTAAAGACACCAGTCCTATAGGGTAGAGCGCGTTTGCATTGAGTGTCACCTCCTCTAACTTCACTCCATCTGCAGTGACCCTGTTCCCAGAGGAGGTCACATTCACAGGCTCCTGGTGGACATGAGTGTTTGAACACGGACACTGTCCAACCTGATGTAATGATCAAAGAACTGTAAGGTCAGCTGTCCTGCGAGGTGACACTCAGGAACCTCGGAGGTTGACTGGGTGCATCTGGGACGTGGCGGCATTGGGGCCGTATTGAGAGCTGATCAAATTGTTCATTTCTCTTGGAGAAGCCTGAGTGACAATCTGATGGTTTTATGGAATTCTTTGAACTTGAGATTGGCGGAATCAGGCCATGCCTGGTACCCTGTCCCACCTACATCCTGAAGCCCGCTGCGGAGTTGAATGAGACTATGAGGAAGGAAAGGTGAACCTCCAGGTGGTTTCTTTTTTTTTTTTTTTTTTCCTTTTTTAAAAGAGGTGGTGTCACTCTTTCTAAAGTCAGCTCCAACTCATGGTGACCTTCTGTGTGGTGGTGGTGGT